TTTTACTCCGTCCAAAGGACGTATGATCCAATGAACTGCCGCCAACGGATTGCGATTTCACACACCACCCCACTGCCTTGCTGGTCAGTCTTTAACTATCCGAAGGCTCCGATTGGGGATTCCTCAAAAGCATTCACCTGCCTTGACCGGGGCAACCTGGCAATATTCCGCCCACATGCAAATCGTGGAACGTTTTCCTTTTTGATGAAGATTATTGTACCATGATTTGTTTGGAATACATTCCGGCGTCAGATATGCGATATACATATATATATATATATATATATATATATATACCAGCCAGGAGCTAATAATAAAAATGTGTAGGCGATTGTTCATCATAAATATTTCATCTGGAAGATCGAAAACAAACGAAGCGATTAATCGAGGTACGCGTACTGAGATTTGTACACATCACGTACGAAGGAATACATCAGGTAACCACGAGATTTGACCACTGTCATGTACAATCAATCCGAGTGAACATTTTGTACGGACCATTCCGATCACTTCTTGCATGAGTTATATAGGCTCTCAATATAAAGATATATATATATTTACCACCGGCTTGAAAACAAGCATGGTGCCAACGCAACAACAATGACAGTGAAAGGGGGTAGGTGGATTAAGGTACAGAACATGGTGAAAAGTGGGTGAGACAGTTAAACATGGAAAATACAAGATAACAGAATTTTTTGTGTGTTTCACCCAACGCAGTCAATCAATCAACCAAAATAATTGCTCAATACGGAGGAAAATTTCATTCATAACTTTGTCATGGGGAGATAATATTCAATCACCAGAATGGATAACTTAAGGCATGAAGCTCAGATTGACGAACAATTTACGAGTCCAAGAAGGTAGATACAGTAGCGAGTCACACGACACAAAAATTTCTAACACTCTACTACCGAATTAGATATTCCAAAGGATACACAAATCAGCAGACAAAGATTAACAAAATCCGGTCAACATGGTGATCACAGATTTTTCTTAAAAAGAATCACCTCATCTTTGGCATCATTTAACCGCTTGATCAGATTCGGATAGAATCGGTAAACTTGGTCCCCGAACGAGTTTGGTAGCGGACAGGAGGTATTTTCCGGCACGGTTTCAGTCGCGTCGGATGTCTTTGACGATGAACTGGATCCTTTGAACGGTAATAGCCAAGTTGACGAAGTTAAAAAGTGAGTCTTCTCGGATGAACTGGCTTCTTCGTCAGTAGTGGGTAGCAGAAATCCGTTGAACAGGAGCGTTACGTTCAAGCAAGCCATGCGTCGAGTGGCTTCCAAGTCGTCCTCCAATAAGCCACCGATTCGAGACAACAACTTGGATAATACCGGAGCCGTCAACTTGGATAGCGTGGTCGTTCGAGGTGTTCGATCTGTGAAACGAAAGAATACACGTACGATTATGTTGCAGAGAAATATACTTGGAAAATTCACAGCACAAGGCAATCGTGCGACACGACAAATTTGCGTAATACCGATTATTCGAAACATGCATTATTTTTTTTACCACATCATGACCAAATGATGTTAGGAGTGTATCGAAAAATCGATGCGCCATGTGTTGTTTTATTATGAATGTTAATGTTATAGTGTTAATAACACAGCGATGTCTGAGCCATTTGATTGTAAAACCTGCCTTGAGAAAGGTTACCCACGGTAACCGAAACGTCGGCGAATATAATTCTCTACCGACATTGCTCTGTTAACACTATAACATTAACATTCACAAGTTTCATTATTTTCCAAATCCGTGAACATTTCGTTGCTATTGTGAAACAATCTAACTCATTTTTGTCAGATACACATAAGGCCAGCGATTTTTCGTCAAACCAAAATGGAATCACACTCATGTTCCTCGTGGGGATATTGAAGAAGAGTCAATAGAGCAATTACTAATGAGCCATTAGCATTGACTACTTGTAAATTGTAAAGTAATCAATGGTTAGAGACACTGAGTGATATCGCTGAGTGTCGCAAACAGTGGCGTTCGCGTGTCTACTCCATTTCTTTGCAACCTTAGTCCATGTGAATTTTTTATCTTCTCCTTGAATCTATTCTCAACAGTCCAACTTTTGGTCTACTATCTTATCCAAATGGGCAGCCAAAACACAGCAACCGAAACCGAGGCACGAAAGGGCATGGTTAATGATTGTACAAATTGATCTGAACTGAATGCGACCGAAAAGTTTCAGGTCAGTTCGTAGAACACTGAATAAACAAGCACAATTAACATGCTTTGGCCAGGGCAATCTGACTGTNCCGTCCGCCAGCAAAAAAAAACAAACCTTTTTTTAATTTTTATCAACATCGTTATATCGTGATTTGTCTGGCACGCAGTTCGGACTCAAACACGTGATAAATTCTACATACATAATATGATAAATGTGCATAAATACAGGTGTGCTTGTTTTGGTTGTCATAGTTCAGTTAGCCGAGAACTGTGCCAGGATATAAAAATACAGAAGGCGGGTAAACTAGATGGGCATACACAGTGAGTAAGTACAGGTATTTGATTATTTACGACACACAACTACAGCACTACGCGTCTCTAGTCAACCGGGAAAACGTGACCGACTTAACTTGCCAAGATTTCTTTTTTTTTACTTACATCTTACCTCTGAGTCTGGTGGTCGTTTCCGTTCACCATCTGCCACGGCATACATCCCAAGTCAAACAAAGAGTACCGATTACAGGCATAGCACACATGAACTAGCTCAACCGATGAAATCCAATCCCAATCACATAACGCGTCTTTCTCTCAGGTTGGAACATTCCCTGGATCTTTGTCTGTCAGAACATTTTTTTTTCATTTCAATAACTCCGCTTGATTACTGCATGGAACGGAGATTAGGATCGCCAATATCTATACCTATTTCACTTTCAGATGTCCGAATATCAATTTAAGTTGTCATGTTGCCATGTGGATAGTACGATAGTCCGATTGCTCCATGGTTTCACATTGTCTTTTACTTTTTGTGACGATCTTGTTATCATGTGCAGTTCATCCGTATGGGGATGATACTCCAGCTGTTTAAAAAACCCGCTTAGAGATATCGTGCGTGTATATTATACCAATCAAACGCTGACCCAGTGTCATCTTCGCTTGAACATTTTCCATTCCGAATTTTCCACGTGGCGCATCGTTCCGCAACCGATTCTCCTGTGACGATTCTCTATCAACACTTAAGGAGCATCGGATTCAGAACTTGTCCTCATCCTATGCCGGCCCGAAAATCACACGACCGATCGGGCTAATTTGATAAATTAGCCGACAGTTCAGCCACATCAAGGGACCTGGTGCTTGCCCAACTAACCCGAGCGAGAAACCACACCTTGTCTACAGCCGCGAGTCTTTAGCAGGTCCAGTGAACTTCGAGTGTACAGCAGGCTGGCCATCACCATACGGATGAAATGCGCATGACAACAAGATCATCACAAAAAGTAAAAGACAATGTGAAACCATAGAGCACTCGAACTATCGTACTAACCACATGACAACAAGCCATCTTAAATTGATATTTGGACATATTAATTTGAAAAAGTATAGTGATCGTTGTTGGATGACTGGATAGACGTTGTGGCGTTCAAACCATGCAGTTTGAGATGTGGTTTTAGGCATTTGTTGACAAACCACTATGTGATTGGGATTTATCGGGGATTCATGAAGGATGAATGGGGTTTAGAAAAAATCAGATGATTAGTATTCAAGCACCCGAGGTTATTGCAGCAGACAAAGATCGGACAGGATCAGTTTGTTGTTTGTTGGAAGCGCTGGGTGGCGCAGCTGAATATCAGGTTCGAATAACATCAGTGGAGCAGTTTTATTGCCGGATTTTCATCGTTTGGCGTTGCATCTGTGGTCGTGAATTCTGTTGCAATCATTCCGTGTATCATGCTGTACACATTAGTCATGCAGTCTCAACGTCTTACTCACAAGTGAAAATCCTTTGAGGAAATTTTCATCCCATAATTCACCGTCTACTGGATGCCCTGGTTCTGATTAACGCAAGCTAATCCAATTTTCACCCAAAATAATTTGAGGGTGTGAACCGGGAGAGGGGAGGGGGCAGTGAATGTGAGATAATGAAAGCGCTGTCAAACAGCCAGATGCCCTCAAAACCGTCCCAGCAGTGCATCCATATGGAAAGAGGACACAAACACGCAC